TGTGATCTCCAATGCGGGTCTGTTGGGGTTTTGTTGAGAAAATGACAGCGAAATACTGATTTCTGAGTTACCAAAATACAAATACTATCCGATTTCAATCAAATTTTGTATGTATATCTAGGTACTATATATATATATGAAAAAGGGGTAATAACGACAGTTCAGACAAAGAGATTTGTTAAATTTTCAGGGCGGTCTGCTACTTTATCAAGACAGGAACATGATTACATATCACAACATAAAACAGAGAAAAACAGTCACCATGAAACAATAATACAATACAAAATCCATAAACAAAAACATCCATATTTGACACAAAAGACAGGTCTTAACATACGATACAGGTACGGTTAAAGATGGGAACAAAAATGATCAGATAAAATCAAACGGTAAAATTGGACATGCTGTATCACAATATAGAAAAAATAGATTATGATACGTATTACTTAAGGTGATAGATATAGGTCTCATAAGTTATAACGACAGTGTGATCCAATATTGGCACTAGATCCGAACAAACAAATGTTGGTTGAATACGTATTACTCAAATAGATACATGGGCATATACTGGTACTACGAATACTACTGCAGACACCATTTTGTAATTCCGACCTTCTTATTAGTTGAAATTTTGATATTGTCTTTATTAGCTCACCGGGTCCGAAAGACCAAGGTGAGCTTATGCCATACCGTGGCGTCCGTCGTCCGTCCGTCCGTCCGTCCGTCCGTCCGTCAACTGGGTGGAATTTAACTTAATTTGACTGGAAGCATCCCTATGTGGTGGGGATTCAAAATTGTACAAATTGTGGGGCTGACCACCCAGGGGGCTGAGAGACGGGGCAAAAAGGGGGCAATTTGGCTATATTGCTTAAGCGACATCTCCTCTGGAACTAAGAGATGGATATCAACCATATTTGACTGGAAGCATCCCTAGGTGGTGTGGATTCAAAATTGTACAAATGGTTGGGCTGACCTCCAGGGGGCTGAGGGGCGGGTCCTAAAGGGGACATTATGGCTATATTGCTACAATCGACTTCTTCTGTAGAACTATGCACTGGATATCAATCATATTTAATCAAAAGCATTCATGGGAGGAAGGGATTCAAAATTGTACAAATGGTGTGGCTGACCCCCGTTGGGGCTGAGGGGCGGGACCAAAAAGGGTAATTTAGCTATATTGCTTTAAGCGACTTCTTCTCTGGAACTAAGAGAAAGATATCAACCATATTTGACTGGAGGCATCCCTAGGTGGTGGGGATTCAAAATTGTACAAATGGTGGGGCTGACCCCCCCAGGGGGCTGAGGGCAGGGCCAAAAGGGGGCAATTTGGCTATATTGCTATAAACGACTTCTTTCGTAGAACTATACCATGGATATTGATCATATTTGGTCGGAAGTATTCATGGGAGGCAGGGATTCAAAATTGTACAAATGGTGGGGTTGACACCCCAGGCTAAAGGGTGGGGGCAAAAAAAAAATATTACTTGGAAATGGTTGAGATCCCCACCATATAACCATATATACAATTGCTGAGTAGAAACAGAGGAATGCACATTTGCTTCCAGGACGGCCCTAGGTTCTGACCCCAACCTTGGAGACTTAACCCTTGGGTCATAACTTTGAAACGGCTAAGATACCCACCCCAAAACTATATATACAATTGTTGGGGCTTAAAGAGACGAATGCAGTCATGATATTAGAATTGACCCCAGGGTCTGCCCCCATGCTTGCAGACATAACCGCTGGGTCATAACTTTGAAACGGTTGAGATCCCCTCCCCAAAACTATATATACAAATACTTGGCAAAAAGAGACAAATGCAGTCATGATATTATAATTGATCCTGTGGTCTGGCCACAACCCTAGGGACCTAGTTTCTGAGTCACAGCAGCTTGGAAACAGTTGAGATCCCCCCCCCCCCATAAACATACATAAAATTGCTTGGCATAAACAAATCAAATACAGATATGCTACAAGGATTGGACTTGGGGTCTGCCTTATTCCCTTGGATCTCATTTGGAAAATATTTTGCCATGATTGCTTAGATATCCAGGTGAGCGAAACAGGCCCTCTGGGCCTTTCGTTTTGTCTTTATTTCGTTATTTCATTAATTCATTATTTCATCGTCTTCGTCATTCTTGTACTTCAACAAAACATTGTCTGACACATTGAGGTCTGACTTCTGTTAGTAATCCCTGTCTCTCGTACAATAAAATTGACCTCATTTTCCCGTCGTTATACTATTCACAGTAACTGAACAGCCATGATTGGCTTTAAGGCTTTCTACAGCACATTGATCAAAATACATCCTTAAACTAAATTCCCCGGAATAATTGGCCTTGCTTGAGAACGCCTCCACTCTTTTGTGAGTGAGATGATCTGTTCTAGAATGTAGTTTTTTATGACATAAGATCCGTCCCCTTTTGCCTGTCTTGACGTTCACGGAAGAAAGGCAATTGAACTATCGCTTAATACAAGTGACACTCATTACCTCTAAAACATAAGGAGAAGATGTTTTAAGGCATGAAACAACTACTAAATGTTTTCCTGATGTTAACAGTTATATGAAAAATCAATTCCTTTGCTTTGGCAATGTAATGAAGTTGGTTTATTATTCGTTGATCAATAATTCCATTTTGCAATGATTAAATCCATTAAATATATGGCCTTGACACGGAAGTGATCAAAATGGATCTGATGCCCCGATTTCAATGCATTTTCTTTTCCTTTCTTTCGTGTCTTCTGTCTTGTTTTCGTTACTATTTTCACTTTCCAGCGATATCTCCCTCGGAAGGCGTCCTCATATGACCATGGCTGTTGCGAGGACGTTAAATCCCAAAACACGCACGCATGCACTACACGCATGTATCTTGCACACAGGAGAGGCCGTCCTTAAATGACCATAGCTGTTAATAGGACGTTGAACAATAATAAACCAAACCAAACCATTATTTGCTCAATTTGTCTTTTATATCTCTGCATTTCAACGGAGGTTAAATGTTTTCCGATCGCAATGAGGAAAGACGATTTTTAGCTCGTCTAATCGAAGAATAGGGGGCTATAGCAGTACCCACTGCGTCGTCGTCCAACTTGGTTATAGTTTTTGGGCAAGCTGTGTTTTGGTGTTTAACTCAATTTTAAATTAATTCAATATTTTAATATGGTTACAGAAATTGCTTGGAGGTTCCTTAGCAACAAATTGGACTATATTTGCTTTTGGAATTGATTAAAGTTCTAAAGTCTTAGGGAAAGGGCTAGTTCTTTTGAAACTACTATACAGATTTCAACCAAATTTGGCAGGAAGCATCCTTATGGAAAGGGAATTCAATATTGTACAAATAGATTCCCTGACCCCCAAGGGACAGGTGGGCGGGGCCAAAAGGGGTAAATTTGAACAGATCTTCAACCAAATTTTGCAGTGAACATCTTGACGAAAATAGGATTAACGATTGTTCAAATAAAGTCCCTGACCCCTCAGGGGACAGATGGGCGTAGCCAAAAGGGTAAATTTGACAGTATGTCTTTAAACGACATCTCCTCCGAAATAGGAACTTAATAATTTGAGACATGGTAGACTTATGTATGGTGCACAACATTTTCGGATAATTTATATGAACCCAGGAGGTTGATGGCTAGGTATTGGGGGGTCCGGTGCCATCGACAATGGCCCAATTACTATTAACACTTTTTACAAAAATAATTTTAATAGACGAGCTATGCTGTTCTCCTACAGCTCTTGTTTTGTATTGCAAATGTGCGATACAGAATCTAGTGCACTTACGTTTGTATAGATATTCCTGATATATTGCAAACCGCCACCGACCTTCGTCGAAAATAAACGAAAAATAAATATCTCTCTGAATTAGAAGTATGTTACAGTATAGTTTGTTTTGTTTTATCATCATGGTAAGTTCTTCTCATTTTATATGGATTTGGCAGAGAGCGGAATCGATCGCTCACAAGACCTGTTATTGGTATCTAGAAATATGCTGTAGGCTTTAAGGAAGCATTTCAAAAGCTTTGCCACTTGATGCGCTTTCAGAGAAGCTTTTGAACAAATATTGACTTTGGAACATGTGCTACGGTGCCATAGACGTTTTTGCTAACTTTATAAAACCATCCTCTACAGTTAGAACATTGTTGAAAACTGTCAGTGCCAGATACTTAATGCCTTTCTATAGACCTTCTTTTTGAAGTTATTATGTCATTAAAAAGACATTTGGAAACTTGAATGGGTTTTGTTTCAAGGCTTGTTATTAAGGTAAACGGATTTTAGGGGATGCAAATACTCTTAATAAAGTTAGGGAATGTAATAATGAAAATAACTGAGGCCAGCGACGGTATTACTAATTATGACAAATTTAGGTAATTGAGGCAAAAAGTTAAATAAAGTAAAATAGAGTAACAGAAACGAATTTGTAACATTAAACGTGTTTCTGTTCACGTAAAGTTAAGCTAGGAAAATAAGTTTTCAGAAATAAGCCGTGAGCTAACAGTATCGCAAAAATAACAACGCTTCATATCGTATCGTATAATGCAAATATATTCTCCTGTGACGGAGAAAAAGATGGTACAATACAATATCATCTATCTCGCTCAGCCGTGAGGTCTAGAGGGTTTGCCTGCACTTGAACTCGGGTGTGCTTGTCGGGGCTAGGATTTGATCCCCGACATTGATGCAACTTATTGTTGACCTCTAAAGAGACATTAAAATAAATGCATAGACATCGTTTATTTTAAGTAGTCCTTGGTTAAGATGCTGTGGTAAGTATTGGTCAATTTGCTACTCGTTTTCGCTTTTTGTATTTTTTGCCGACAAAAAGGTACCACCAAATTCACGAATATGACAACCCCACAATAAAAAAAACCTTAATGGTAGTGTTGAAATCGGAAATTCAAAAGTTTAGAAGATGCACATTCCTCATGAGAAATGAAGAGAAGTATGCTTGAAACAATGCATCTGTATTGTCATTATATCATGGAAATTTATTTTTTAACAGGGCATTCGGATATCATCCCCTGGGAATAGACCAAATGTTGATCAGTCTGGACTCAGAAGGCACCTTGATTTGGGAACCCGGGATTGTGATGCAAACAATATGTGAGGTAAATATTGCCAAGTACCCGTTTGACAGTCAGAATTGTGCCATTCGTGTGATGTCTTGGATGCATACAAACAGATCAATGGTCGTTGTTGTGGAGAAAAGAAGCGTTGACGTGACAGGTTACTACCCCAATGGGGAGTGGGATCTGTTTACTACTTCTGTAAAGGCATACTCCCCCGAGGATGGATCTTACAACAGTGGCGAGATACTTCCTGGGGCGGAAGCAATCTTGGAACTGAGACGACGTCCTGTGTATTACATTATTTCCACCATACTACCAATCTCGATGTTGTCTCTGCTAAATGTTCTGGTATTCATGCTGCCCATGAATACGGGCGAGAAGATGACGCTGGCTGTTACGGTCTTGCTCTCATTTACTGTGTTTATGAGTGTGGTAAATGACGTCATGCCGAAAACGTCGAACAGTATCTCGATATTAGGTAAGAATATTCTCATTTTTTAAAATTCCATATGGGACACAAATGCAATATTTCGTCAGTTCATCTACGCACTCTCTCAATGAAGCTAATTGCTATGGCGCAGCGTCCGTCTCCTGTCGTTCTTCTGTTGTCCGTCTTCTGTTCATTCTAAAACATCTGAAGGTATTTTCTTTGAATATTAAACGGGTTCTGATGGTGCATAAATGATAGATGACTTTTTTTTGGGATTCAAATTATGCTCACAAGGGGAATGATGTGTTTAATCCTTAAAGGATAAGCCATTAATTACAGGTTAACTTACTTTGGCGGGAAGAATCCAGTGTTGTATAGGTGGTCCTCCTTAGGGCACTGAAGGACAACAAAAAATTGATATTAAGAATATTACTTCTCAAGGCTGTGTTTTCCCCAATGGCATCACTAGGCCGAAGCTTCATTAAAGAGAATGGATTACTGGTGGAGGATGATCGGCCTCCAATATTAGAAATGAATATAAATCTTTCAGAGAATACTCTAGCAGTGCAGATGAACTATAATCTGCATTGTAGTTGCATACATCAACTGATACCATTCTACATATGTCACCTTCATTCATTTTTTGAAATGCAGTGCCAAGTATAAAAAAATGATTATTTTTTCCGAAAAACCGATATTTGTTTTTGTGTGTTTACGGTTCTCATTTTCACATTTAGACTAATTTGCTGCTAAAATATTGAATTTGTTGCTAAACGACTACGAATACATAAATGTTCCTGGAACCTTCAAATAAGTGTTAATGTTGCGTCTGTCAACTTCAATCCATACCATGTTCGAAAAAGTTAATAAATCGTAATTCGAAATCGATGATGTCACGATGTTTACGGAGCGGCAATAAGGTTTAAAGCAGTAGATATTCATATTATAATCATGTCTTAAACCAATTTGTTGTCATTGCAGTATAAACAACCCACCGAAAATACATCTTGCATTAAGCGAATTTATATTATAAACACCTAATGAATTTGACTCGATTGGCTCGACTCATCGTGTTAGCGCACACAGTTGTCCCGAGAGCTTTTTAATGTATCTTTATAGTTGATTGGGTTGTATACTTCAATACATTTAATCTAATAACATGTTCATGAGACCCATATAGTTTTTCAATGACTTAACATGAATCGCTGAAGAAACTAATAATACAAATGCCTTTTTATCTTCGGAACAATTTTGTAAAAGTTTAAAAATTAATAAATCAGAAGAAGAATGTGGATAGCCTTGCCAGGAATAGCATTATTTTCTTCACAATTAAAATTGATGCAATGAGCACACTTTATGGAGACTGAATACAGTGCTGTTTGTTGCATTTTACGGGCTCTCTGATTGATATATCCTAGGTTCGAATCACATTCGTGGCTAGTTATGTCTCCCCTTCGAATGAAGGGAGACATATTGAATTAGTACTGGTTCTTCTCATCGCAACTTGTCCGGGCCGTAACGTTTAAACAGTTAAAGATAGCTTTAGGTATGCATGCATTGCCCACAGAAGGTGTGCAGAGCACTTGAATTAGGTCATTGTGACCTTCACCTCAATGTCAAAGGTCAAATAAGTGCAACATTTTCAGTACATTCTTGTCCGGCCCGTAAATATTTAACCGTGAAAGATATCTTGATCAAACTTTGGAGTACAACTGCATCACCCACAGAAGGTGTGCAGTTCACTAGAATTAGGTTTCGTGCTCTACTATATACAGAGTTATGGCCCTCAGTTTAATTTAATACCGAAGTTTGTCCGGAGCATTAGTTCTAAACCATTAAAGATATCTTAATCAAACTTGAAGTTTACCTGCATCACCCACAGAAGATGTGCAGTGCACTAGAACTAGCTCTCGTGCCCCACTATATATAGAGTTATGGCCCTTTGTTTAATTTAAATACCGAAGTTTGTCCGGAGCACAAGTTCCATGTTATTTCAAGGTAATCGCCTCTTATGATCATGCAATGGGGGCACCAGGTACAATTCTTACGCCCTACCTGTAGGGACACATTCGTGTGAGTTACATTAAACATATTAAGCAATTTAATTAAAATACATTCTTTAGAACTGTACAAAAGCGTACCAGCATTACAGGAAACATATAACAGAACGACGATGATGTTGATCGACTCCTAGTCAATTCATGTCACAGAACCCGAATGGTGACCTAGTTATTTGGGTCAATCGGCTCTGAAAAATACGTTGAAGTGTGTAATTATATTCATCCAATCGATCCTGTATACAGTTTTCATCCCAAATACACTTTTTAAGGTTGTAGGTCTACGATAATATTACAATCATTATTTTAAATACAACAATGTTTGTTTGTTTGATTTTGTTTAATGTCCTATTAATAGCTAAGGTCATTTAAGGAAGGCCTCCCCTGTGTGCAAGATGCATGCGTGTAGTGTATGTGTGTGTATTTTGGGAGGCTGCGATATGTTCATGTTTGTCTCCTTGTGGACTGAAGAATCAATCAAATTTCATCAGAATGGTTGGGACATAAACATAAACTTCCTGGACGCTTATTCGTAAATTTTCCTGAAAAGGGGCACTTTAATTAACACGGCATTACTGCTACATATTTAAAATAATTCTGCCTAGGCGTGAAAAAAGTACTGTCTACCTTAAAAAGGATATTGCTTTTTCTGTAATTGGTCAGATTCTTTGAAATTTTCTTCAATAAATCTTGTCCTAGAAATAATAGTCACTTTAACTTCTTTTATTGATTTTGTTGATCATTAGAACAGATGATGTCGATTTATTTTGGAAAAGAACGGGTTGTCATTTGATTTTATAGTCCGCTTCCAATCACTGTAAGTACACGTTATCTCTACTAAACTTTTACTTAAACTAGTTGAGTACAACACAGGAGTGGTAAAATGACCACTTCCAAAGTAATCTCTCAACTGTGTTGGTATTAGCTTGAACTATATATAACGGACTTGAGTACATTTCAAGTAACATATTGCGTTTTCGAAATGAGGTTACACACACTGTACAAAGTATTTAATGAGTAAAGACGATTTTTTAATTTAGTTATTTAACGCATTCTTAACGATTGGTACAGAATTGTAATTACACTGTATGTTGAGATGTCTCTGTATACATGCACAGAAGACAGGTACATTATCGGTTCTGACCTATTCTTCCAACTAATCCAGTGCTACTGTTTAATTATTAAATGCAGCTAGTCGTAGCGTTAAGAACCTTTTTTAACATAAGGAAATTATCAGCCTTAACTATAGTGTTTTCCTATTTCAAAGCATGTGCGGAATGATGCAAAAATAAACCCATGCTCTTAGATTCATCTCCGTATAGAATTGGCGTTTTTATGGAAAATCAACATTCATCTATTTCAACTATGATTGTTTTGATAATTCAACACCACATAACTAATAAAACAGTGGCTTTACATTCCGTGTACGAATTAATTGTATGAGATTACAATATGTTATTATTTATGTAAGATACCAATCGGGTTTATAGAAGTGAGCTAACCCGGTGAGGTGTTTAACAACAAGCATTGATAAACACAGATATTTATTCATAGGATATTACATATATAACTTTTACTACCATTAGCTAAATTTTGTATTACCTTAATATAAAACCGTTATATCAAAAACATTATCAGAAACACCTGCAACAGTTCATAAATGTCGTGTGCCTTGATATACTACAGCTGGTGTCTAATTTAAAGTTTTGTCGTCAAAATCATACATCCACAAAAAGAGTTATACACTGGAAAGTGTATATAATGCGTAAGGATTTTCATAAACTCATGGTAAAATGGTAACAACTCAGAAATATATTCACTCGTCTTTGCAAACGCAATGTATGTCAATCGCTCCTGAATTAGGGGATAACTGTATTTACCATTCTTAGCCTCGTCCTTCTTTCACTGAAGTGTTTTGTACCACTGGGCACACTGTCAGTCTTTGAGCTTTATTCGAGCGACTGTTCCGGTAAGGAGCCGTGACAAGCTCTCCGTCGTTGTAAGTAGATAATTATATATTAACATTTTCCACTTTAGGGAACACAGTGTTAGTACCGTAAACCAACATTTTGTAAATCCTCAAACTTAGTGGACGTAAGGATATAGGGTAGATCTACTTTTTTCGTAAGAAAAACCCCCCACCGCCCATTCATTAATACAGCGGGTTGAAACCAATCGGATTTGACAGGGGTTAAAAGTTCAAGGTAAGTCATAAGACGATTAATATATGTATGTAATATAATAAGGTGCCAATCATAAATTATTGCCTATGATGTGGAGAGGAAAATAACATGTATTTGGTTCATTCAATTTTTTGTAAGGTCGCACGGTAAAAGACGAGTTGTGGTTAGTTTTATATATTGTACCTACAATATATTTTTTTCCTAACAATATACACAAGATATAGAAGTTAATAAGCATTTGAAGTCAAATATGTCTTTGAAAATATATTGTATTCCAAACTATCACATTGTTACTTGAATACTATTACTGCTCATCGGTACATTTCATATCTACAAGACTTAATACTCTGCAAATCAATTGTACAGTAGTATATTTACAAGCTATATCATGACCGGCAAAAATAAAAATCAGCGCACCAGTGTTCAAACAAAATTTATGTAAATAGCTACGGCCTTAACAACTGAAAAAAGCTTTTTCTGTCATTAGAATGATAAGAAATCTTCTTTAAAATTATTAGATAATTGTTCCGGATCGTAAAGCTTTCGTAACCTTAAACAAGAGGCCCATGGGCCTTAACGGTCACCTGAGTCTACAGTATTTATTTTTGTTGTTGAAATATGTACCAATTTGAGTAAAAAATAGTATAATGTTAACTTAACTTTGTCAGGACCATGAGCTGATCATTCCTAGACCAATTTTAAGTGAGATCGGCCTATTAGAACTTAGTAGCAAAATAGCGGC